TCATTATATTCCCTAAACTATCCGATTTCACTCGAAATTTATTAGTAATAAACACCCACATTCGGAGCAATCGTGAAATGAATGTGCAACTTCAACCAAGCGATTTCAATACCCCAGTGGTTGTGTTCGATAAGCGAAACAGAAATATGTAATTAGGCCATGTGAAATATTATGAAAGAAGTAATATAAAAAAGATGTGAATGATCGAAAAAGAGTATTGAAATGATACTAAAGTAGAAGTATGTTGCAGTCTACCAGTGGTGAATCAGCCTAGATTTAAATGCATTCTTATGGTCGTACTGAACCAACAATCCATTAAGTATAGTTCATTCATCATACCTATCTAAATTGCCTTCCATTACTGAAATTTCTTATTGCCATCTGCTCTTTTTAATGCTGATTCCAAACGGATATACATAATTATGATAATTGCAACTGCACCAAAGTTGAATCGTATCGTTTCAAATTGTATATCTTCAAATTCGCTTTAATTACTGATATATATTAGCTATGCCTTTACAACTGATCTATCCTCTGCCATCTCAATCATCAATTTTCCGAAAATTTTGATTTCTTCGCTCAGTCAGCTTTTCTCTAAAGACATTAACTTCAAGCAAAATTATTGTTAAGATAGTATTTGTCATAATCTTGCGCTCCGTGCCACTTCCTTGTGATTAAATAAGTTCTCTGAAAGCATTATTGGATAACTGTAGGAGAACTATGAAAATAAAACCAATCAATACTGATTCATCAGCTTTATCTGTTGTCCTTCCCATCCTTGGCACCCTAAAATTTTCCCTTATAAGAAACACTGATCTAAGGAGATTTCATAGAGTAATAACTAATGAAGTATTTGGTTGAAGGAATGGATCTTGCATAGTTTGGAGTAACATTATGATAAATGATTGATTACATTAACATTTGTGGGTCGAACAAAATGAGAAGTTAATTGCGGTGATTGTGAAATGGTATTTGGTGATGACGCAGAACGAGGGATCTTAGATGAGTAATGTTCAATGCGATCATCAACGGTAACCTAATCGTTCATCCTTGTTCTCTTTTCTATTTAGTACAATCCAAGCATCAGCAACATTTTGAATGGCAAATAATTATAAAGTGAATTTTAGAACGAACGGTCAATCCTCAGATTTCTTCACACAATGATTCTCTCCTTTTAAATGCACTGAATCTGAAAGAGTGTCTCATCTGTTTATATCTATCTATATGTAGAAAATTTTAAGTTTGATTTCACCGTTCAAGTATTGAAATTGATACGAATAAGCAAAGAATCACAAACGTTATAATAATCATTTCTTCACATCAATTCACCGCTACATATATTAATCTACTTACGAGTCATTTAAGATTGCCTTGCACAAGTAAATACTAACTATTGGCGAAGTTTAAAAGACATGAGATGATCGTTCACCAACATCATGCCGTTAGCATTTCGGCACTTATTGCTATTTGCAATTCAAGATAGTTCCGAAGTGAACAGTATGACAAGTTCGATGAAAGTGCTCAAAACTGAACTTACGCATCCTCTGATGAGACGATATTGCAACGAATTTCTCAATTTCGGTGCACACTGACTGCTGATCGATAGAGCGATCAAACGTATGCTGATAAACGGCATAATAGATGAGCCCAACAATGTGTGATACCCTTAGAAAGTTAGCCTTAAACCTGGAACTAAGCATTATCCGTCATACCTTTCTTGTACAATGATAATAACAAATCATTATGCAATGCTGAGCATGCTTGAAAGCAGTGTATCGAGTCTGAAGAGAACCATGCCGTGTCCTACCATTACTTCTCGGTAGAACGAGTTTATCGCATACATTATACGCTTCGCATACCCCAGACGATGCCAGTATTGCAGCACTGAATTGATATCTCTCCTAGAATATTAGCTGCTGATCGACCGAAGGCCTAAAAGCCAGCCTTTAAAACATGCTGCTGAGCTCTATTTTTCCGCAGCTAATTGTAAGCAGCTTCATGAAGTATTTTAATAGTTCTTTTGTTGTTCAAAATCTCTTACTGGAATTCAAAATTAGTTTGCTCACCTTCGAGAGTGATCTGGCAGATTCTAAGAATGAATACATAATCAGCTTAAAGAGTTCGACGATTCATTACAAGCACCAATCAGATTTTCCATTCCCGTTTATGTCGATTCTTGTGTGCTTGAATACTAAAAATTTGCGCGTAGTAAGCATTATATTATGAGTGATGTGTGTGGCCCTTATTCACATAATTGATGGTAAATGTTTTATTTGATGCGTGAGTAAGAGTTAATATTAAATTACAAAACATCACTTACTAATTACGTTCAAGATATAACAGCAATAAAAGAATGCTAGAAGCGATAATAAAGCATTTAGAAAATACTTAGGACATTTTTTAATTTCTACTTTCTAATTCAGATATTTTTTAAAACTCAAAAGTGCAAAAAAACGATCACAACTGGACTATGACTAAAAATCAGAGTGAGCAAAGAGAGATTTGGAGCTGATTGAAAAGGTGGATTTCTACATAAAAATCAAAGGCTCGAAAATTAGAAATTGAATGACCTTTTTGAAAAGTGATGATAAGACGTAAAATTACTACAGCACAAGGCCAATTCAAAAACCTACGAGGTACAAATACGATTACAACATTAAATTACATGTACAAGAGCAAATGGATGATGACCTAGAGGTACACTAACAGCAAGAAAACACCTAGAGGTAAACATACAAGTTACGTGCACAAATAACATCAACTCTCACTCATACAACAGCACGACCATAAAATATAGTCAAGCATTAATCAGCAAACAAAATGATGATATAATACAAAAATTGAAATCAATCATCGTCCTATGGAGTCAAATAAACAAGAATCCCTGGAGCAATACAGCAAGCGAACAGCGATCTTCATTTTTCTTCTGAATCGAACGAACTTACTGCTCTGATCATTCGTTAACATTCAATTATCATTGCTGACAGCTCTTCTATCTCTACATACGAAAAAGACCAACGTTCACTTAACCAAGATGATCAGTACAAAGACACAGACACGCTAAACCATCATTTTCATTAAATCGCACAAGAGTTCATCCTTTCGAAACGAACAACAACAGCAAAATTTCGAATAAAAACTTCAAGGAATATGCAATGAAACATTATACTAAGACTCTGCTCGCTATATGCCATATCATATGCAGCAGCCGTTCAACTAAACCACCTACGAACACCTCAAGAAATCAACGAGTAGCGCAATCAAAGTGAACACTGAAAAACGGCAATTACCAAGAACACATCAACAATATCAAAAATTACACATGATATTATTACAGGACATAACGTACTTAATTATTACTTTCAATGAGAATCCAACAAACAATTAAGCTTTCAACATACGATAACAATATGTCACTTTACAACCACCACGCCATTGAAAGATCACTTATCATTCGAAATTAGACCGCAGCTTACACTTTCTAACTGAATTAAAAATCATGAACCATTGATTCTATCCTTTATCAATAACAAATTTCATACAAAAAACTGAATCAATGGACTGGTTCGAAACATGATGTGTTCGTATACAATAGAAGAATCAATAATTCATTCACAATACCAGTAATAAAACTGAAGAGCAATAAGGCAAGAATAGACAAATCTAAATGAGGCTATCTGAACAAGTTCTAATCACTCAACAAATAATCATTCCACTTTGAATTAACAATATGTAAATGAAAAAGCAAACATAAACACATAAATTCGTGGTTATCAATCAAAGAATCGATACTTTTTTGAAAATAACCAAAAAATGAGGAAATGATAAAGATATAATAAATGCATATAGTGTCAATAATATTGCACAACGGCACCTTTACAGAAATAACATTAATCAGTTCACTATTTAGAGGGGATATAGCTGAGCGATGAAACATTTCATGAACGTTAACTTATTTACGTAGTATTCGTTGATCACTTTCAAAATAAATGACAAGCACAGGCAAAGATGTAGACGTAACTTAAATAATTGCTGAAATCAATTGGGTTCAGACTTACTTTAACTTCAACGAATATGACTTGTAGAATCACCATAGAGGCTGAGACAAACTTTTTTAAGTCGAATGAAAGCATAAGCTAGATTATTTCAGAGATACAACTATGGTCTATGTACAAAAACAAATTTAGCACTGACGAAGATATAAACACTGAAATATAGTTACAACAACACTGAAAGGCTACTGATTAGAAAAGTAATGAATAACAATGCTAGATGACGTATTTGTTTGGAATATACATCTCAAGATATCGAAAAGACGATAAAGATACAGATAACGAAATTAACGTTAGAGTTGTTAATTTGTTTAGAGAATCGAATATGTCAGTTCGCTGAGGAAGTGATACATCAATTCTCAAATAATTCGAAGGAAAATGTTTTCCGAAACTGATAGCTGATAGAAATTTCAGACAACACTGAATATTAATTTGATTTTTCGTTGTGTATCGTCATTATTTTTGAAATAGAGATCGAACAAGGATTATTGTAATTATAATTATGGCCACAATATAAATCTGTATCAATATATTTATTGCTGATAACATAATTGATTCATTACTAAAAAAAAAAGTCTACATTTTCGAAAAATACCTGAGTGTAACTGCAAGGAAACACACCTCATTCATCTGTTTAAGAATGTGCTTTTCGTATTAGAAGATTTCGAAAGTTATTCGTAGTTTTATTTGTATTAGATGATGAAATAAGATTATGAATTTGGTGAAATGTGCAGCAGTGTAAAAATTGCCGGCTTAAGGTTTAGAAAACATGGTATAAACAGAATAGGGAAGTTGAGTGCAGATGTTGCACTTGATGATCGGACTAATAAGCGTACAAAAACATTTTAGGAACCGTGTTAACAATGAGTGCTTAACTACTGATAGCGGAAGACTGTTCGATACAATGGTCGTGTTATTTTATCAACCAAATTTCAGACAGTGCTATATTCAAGCAGGTACAACTTGTGATGAGGCTACATTTTCAGCATTAACCACCGGTTGCGAGTTGCAGCACTCAGCCAGTTTATGGCCTTGTCGATCCGGTCCTTTCATCGTGTTTGCATTCACTTTCGTACTCTGAAAAAAAAAAGGATTTGTTTCAATCGATTATCCGTCATATGCTGAAGTAATGTTACTGCAAAATGCTTTGATTCATTAAACGAAAGTGAACAAAGAATATGCTGCAGATACACAAATTAATAATATAATGATTGGAGCCCGCAACAGCTCAGCTGGTTAAAGCACCTGCCTTATAAGATAAAACAATGAGACGATAACAGTAAGTATCACCACAAGAAAATTACATGCTATAATACCAATTATCCATTCACACAACGAAATCATATTCAGTTCATCCTGATATGATGTGCATTCCAATTAAAACATTTCACAGAGCAGTATTCTTCGAAAAAAATATTGCGAATACAATGTAAAGGAGAGCGAACACGTTAGAATACAAAACATGCACTGTGAAAGTTTACAAACACAACGGTATTTAGTGTTAATGATGCGCTTTTGCAATATATTTACGAACTGAAATGAAAGCACATTCTAACTGAACTATAAAATATCATAACGCATGCATTTGATTGCCGTTTCACATCAAATACATAACATGTACAATAACACCACCGATCGACGAAGTAAATACCCTCCTATAACGTTTAAATGCAATATGTATCCCCCGTTGAGAGCGTTAAATCAGTGAATCTATGCTATTAGTTACCTATCTGATTACGATTGTGTCAGTATAAAGAATTCAATTTTATTTCTTCGGGAAATTTAATATGCATAATTAATGCGGCTTAAATAAGAATTAACAAATAAATGAAGAGGAAAGAGATCTTTATTAATGTTGAACGCCGAACAAGTGACTGAGAACGAACAGATGTGTAAACTGCGTTGTCCACTTTCAAATAACACTACGTGAATTCAAAAAAATTCATGAAAGGGCAATTTTGGTAGACGAATCAATCACCAAGACTAATTATTACATACAGATACCTTTCTGTAAAACAACTCTTGGATTGTAATCAGTTGGAAATGATTAAAAAATTTATTTGAGTGTTAATGACGTTCCATAAATGAACTATATTACTGTAATTCTACATTACTAACACCCATACTTATAAGTTTGATGGCCTAATTTCTAAACAACGATCAATCGTTGGGGCATTTGATGATCTTCCTTTGATAATCATCAGAAAGTGTTGCGAATGCACAATCAGCCGATATATTAGTACAAAAAAATGGATATTTTTTGAGAGCTTGCAATTGTCTTTATAGTTAACGAAACGTTATCCACCCCCTATTTAAAACCTCATCTATGAAACATCAATCGATGGCTGAGTGCTAAAACTATTATAGGCCACTTAAATTTCCAATGCATTAACTAACCATGGTGAATGACACAATTCTGTTTCTGTGAAAGTTTCCCACTGAAATTGTAAAATTATGAACAAATACGACATGAGAGCAATCATTTTCAAGAGATGTCATTCAATGTTAACAACCTACAATTGAATCGACTGGTTTCTCGCGATATGTATCCACAGCATCCACTTTGAACTTGAACATTTCAATCTGGCAACTGTATGCTTTTGGTGTTAATTTGATAACCGTATGCAAAGGCACGTTCAGGTAAGGAAGCTCTTGAGGATTCTTGTTGTCAAAATATGCCAAAATACATCGTAACACAGCCTAAAGTGGACCATTTAATCAACAGTAAACGTGTCATTTATTTTATCATAAACGATCCCAACGAACCTGATGAGAAACAACAAGTACATTACTTTGTCGTTCTAATTCCATAATGACTGGCTCGAGTCGAGAGACCAAGTCTTCGTAACTCTGCAATTACTTTTATTGATATCGCTTAAAATAGCAACAAAACGACCGCATCGAACAAAAATTCAAAACCTCTCCAGAAGGATACCGATAATGGTATTTATCTTTATCGCGATCAGCAAATTGTTTCGGATACCTTGCCTTGAAATCGTCATACGTCAATCCTTCACATATACCCTGCAATGACTACCATCAATAAACTTTATAATATACACTGAAGGAAATACTATGAAAAAAATACTTGACTGCGCAAAAGTTTTTGAAGGCCGAATACTGGGAAAACCAAAAAACTTATCCAATTTTACAAATTTTAAGAGGCATCCTCACTGAAATGTCAATAAGATAAGATTGTCGATAAAATATGTATATCCGCAGTCGGAACAACCGAACATCAAAAGATCACTCGAAATGAAGCTATCAATCCGAATACTATCCCTCTTTGAAAAGGTCCACTCTAACCCTTACGTGTACGAAAAAAAATCAAATTTGGTACCGCGTCGATCTCATCAAGCACTTTCCAATATTCAATGTGTGCAGCCAAATCACGCAGTGTACACGCTGTTTGTGCAGCACGAACCTTCTGTGAACTCCAGATACGTAATTCACCAGGTACATTCTCGGCCTGAACAATGCAAACAGTGGTGAAGCAATATTGATCAACACAAGACTAACAAAGATAAATCAAACAAACTTTGAAATATTCGCGCAACCGACTCGCATACTCGAGTCCATTATCGCTCAGAGGACTATCACCACCAAGACGGCCAATTCTGTTGTACTCGCTTTCACCGTGCTTCAATTTGGAACGTTATGAATTGAAATATACCTGTCATATGCAGTAATAAAGAGGAAACACTTACCCTAGTCAGATAGACAGAACGTGGTAATAAATGGATATTCATTAGAAAATAAACAACACGACTTTGCACATGCCCATTCACATTATGCACAAAGAATGATCGTCCAGCATTGATCACTTTTATGAATGATAAATCATCGTCAATGTCTTCATCGAGTGGTTGATACTGAATACACTCTCATTTAACATTTCTGATAGTGAAAACGAATCATGTGTTCATTTGAACTTTCATGCGATTGCAGCCTTTCAGGATGAGAAAATAGAAGAGATCGTCAAAAATAGTTTATTATAATCACCTGCAATTTGTAATTTTCGATTCGTTTCAAAAAATCATTTTTCGCGTCCTCTTCCGTCATATGGCCTTTGTAATCGGGTGAGCTCAATTTCACTTCCTATAGACGTAAAAGAAATCATTTTACTGTCGTAAAATGTAATCGTGTGAATAAGAAAGAATCATTGAAGAATCCGATAACTAAGACGTGAGAAGTCGAGTCAAACAATTGATTAGAAAATAGGTGGAACAGAGGAGGCGACGAGTGGTGTTACTCTCAAAAATTTGCGTTCAGCTGACTCGATAAATATGGGTGAACAAAAATAAAAACGCACAGTAATATTGGCATTGATGATGTCAGGATCGTCACAAACACTCTCAACGAAGAATACTCGAAATGGTGGATCACGTTCATCATTTTCACAAAAATCAACCAACCAACGACGTCGATCACGGGTTGTATTCGTTGCATCAAATATCTGATTGATATTATGAATGATGTCACAAATACGTTGCTAAATTATGGAATCAAAAAATTTCTGCAATGAGTTCTGTTTGGAACAATCAATTAATTAGTTAGTCAACTAAAGATGAGGAAATATCCTTACAGCGACTTCACCTTCCTTAGACGATAAATACTGACCCATATCCTCCATGGCCAATCGTGCACAATCGCTAAATAACGAAACATTTTAATCAATGCCAAATTATAAATCAAATATGTGAGTGCATACGATTCCCGAATGTTGGAAGAAATGAAATGAAAGAATCCCAGTTAATTCAACTGCGTCAGTTCAGTTTCAACGACTGGTTCGCAAACGATTAATATATGCATTTATTTTTTTGCAATAATTGGTATCATCAGTTTTTATCGATTCTGAAATATCGATCGTTTTCAACAGTTATTTCAAGAACATATTCTTAACTCGATCGATCTGATTGTATTTTTGAGCCTATTTCGAGTCTCTCCCTTTAGAAATCATTGGGCAGTATGGGAGAGTAGCGTACCGAATCAGTAATCGAGATTATCCCTTTGCTATTAAGGTTCGTTTTGTGGAAGGAAAGTTATTGGCGGAGGAAGAACGTAATACTGGTGATAAGACAGAGGCATAAACTCGTAATGAGTCGTAACTGTAGTCACTGACTAAATGAATCGCTTAGTTCTCTGATAGCTATTGAAATTATTCATGTTTCATGAACACAACAGAGCATAATATTAATCGACTTGAAAACAGAGGGTCGAAACTGAAGATGAATTCATTCCATTAATATCTATGTATATTGAGGCGACAGTTTTTTTTTTTGAATTTCGTTTGAAGGCGACTGGGCCAACTTGTTTTTTTCGCCTAAGTCGCCACGATATGCAATTTTTGGATTTCGAAATTTCCAAGGTCTCCTTTTTCGAAGAAGCCTGAAAACAACCTCAGTGGAACTTCGCTTTAAGAAACCGGTCTAAAAAATCGCTGGGTCAAGTTGCTTTTTTTGCTTGAGGCATGCAAGTGCACAAATTTGTTGATAAGACCTTTTTTTTTCTCATTGACTTTTCAGAAAGATTTTTTCTTCATTCATAAAGGCGCTATATCCAAGGGTATACTAAGAAACATTCCACATTCGAAATTCGTATACTTAACCCACTGGCAATGACATTCTCGCCTAACAATAACGCGCAGTCGAAAAAGCAATCTCTCGAAGCTTTTCACCTATCAAACAAGTTTTTTGAAGCAAAATTTCATAACGGTTGTTTCTAGACGAAAAGGTATCATTTCGAGCGGTGCAATCTGTATTTTCCACAATTTTGTTTTCATAGTGATGACAAAAATAACTGTCTCCTTGATTTTTAACAGTAAAAACGATTGATTTAGCATAAGTATTAAAAAAATAACCAACGGCGTTCAAAGAATCTGTAATTACAAAAAACTTTAAACTCGCTGACTCCCTAATTCGTGTTCCTTGCTTGTTGTAAGGACTGAAGAACTCATATTCGCCTTGCTCCTCTAACTTGCAAGCTTTTCGTCGATAATCACCAACATTAAACGCTGAAAGTGAAGCTGTTTCAGGAACGCAACGATAACAGATACAGACACATGAATCAATCTTTGAATCCAATTTTGAAGCACCTATCAAAATCGATATCACACTTGGAATTTATCTAACAATAAGCTTACTGATCACCCAAAATTGAAACAAAGCTTAAGGAAAAGTCCAAAACTGATATTAAGATTGAGCAGTAATCTGAGGCAAAAGCGATATAGAGCATAGTGGCGTGTAATATTCATGTGATTCAATGAAATCTCTTACATTTCAGTCTTCTATCAATTGCGTAGTTAAATTCTACTGTGACCTCTTAATTGTTTTGCTTTGTAAGTAATAACGTGCATAACTCTATTCATTAGATGTGATTGAATGGCGCGAAAGATCGCAACCATCTGACCTCAATTTTGTTTTTCGCACCTCTTATATGATGAGGACATTGCTGTCAAAAAGCCTGGGATGGGATGCTTGTTTTCGATTAATAATATGTCCTTGAATTGGAGCTCTTGAGCCTATCGGTGACTGGGGATACGGCGCTAATACGCCTTTAGAGCATGAAATTGAAACAAAATTTGAACCTTTCGTTTTTATACCAATCCAGTTCAAATAACGGCACAACTTGTGTGATATGTAAGTCTTGCCTCTAGCCGGCAAACCTACTAATGCAATCACATTTGGTACACGTACTTGCTCTCTTGACGAATCTAAAAATTATGAAGCAATTAATGCTGATAGCTTTGCTGATGGCATTGCACTTGAAGATTTAACAGTTGGGTGAAAATTGTGAAACGATAAACATATCAGCACAAAAATATTCCTGGAACGCATTCACAGAGGGATAAATAAACTCAGGTATTCAGTTGCATTTATGTTGTGCCCTAACTTATAGACATGTGGGCATTCTTCTGATCTAACTGCCGCAGTGCTCAAAGCCAGCAAATTTTTTCCCAAGTCCAATATTTCTCACTTATAGGTCACTTTCATGAGCAGTAGGAATCGGTTGAGCTCTTTGATACGGCAGAAAAGATCTCTGATTTGGGGCGAGAGATGCATAAATGAACTTGTTGATATATTCCATTTTGTCTATCGCTAACGAATACTTTTTTGTTGGTTCATATTGTTTCTGCAATTGTCAAATGAATTTCTCAAAATATTTGTTTCATTCCGGAAAATTAATTGCTTTCATGCCATTGAGGGATTTCTGGACCGGTTTCCGGTTTGTTTCTGATGTTATGCGTAGAAGTAGTAAATTATTGCAGCAAAAGGGAGTCATGACGGCCTGCCAGACCATTCAAGGGGGTAATGGGGTACCCGAGCGTGGGGAACACTGTGGTGCCATACTGGAAAAAGAATCGTCTCATTGCTGCGATCGTAAGGCTAAGGTTGTGCATTAAGAAACATTAAAAGAAACCCTGAGGTTATGCAAACCTCTCCAGGCATCAGGATCATGACAATCCTCATAATTCATGCGAATAAAGCATTTAGATCATCTGTAATCGTATTAGCTGGTTCTTCATGATCATTAACAATTCTGTTGCATTGTGAGTGTTTACACTGTCTCGAATTTGTCGTTCTCTGTTCTCTTCATTGAAAAAACCTCTCAAGTGTTGGACAGCGATACACGCCAAGTTGATAATGGAAGCAGAGATATGAGAGAGCCTTCTCTTTCGGACTTGGAAAGCATTTCGCTCAGTTTAGGCATTGCGACAGTTAAATTAGAAGAGTATCGACATGTGCACATGTGTGTTATCAAATTTGCATTTATTCATCTACATGTGTATCTTAATGGTAGCACCGAAGTGGTGAAGAGTAATACTGGTTACTCGCTGAAAAAAACCGTCCAACAAAAGTGGGGTATATTCTCGTCAAAAGTGAAGGAAAAAATTGGTCATAGGCAAGTTACTGATAGTGAGATATCAAATTTGATAGTGGTTGATGTAATGAAATACGCATTCAGTTGTTCAATGACGATAGAGTTTGAAGCGTGCGATAAATAAACTTGAGAGTTAGCGATCAATGATGAGGATTTTTGAAGAAATGAATTGTTTACTCAGTGCTCACGATGCAATTGCGGTTGCTCGCTTGCTCACATTTTGATTATTTACCCATCACTATTGACCAGGTTTAGAGAGGTGAGAAGAAAATGTTTCAATAAACGCCGAACTGCCACGATGCTAACTTTGCGTCGTTCCTAGTACTGGACAGAAAAAGACTAACAATGCGATCATCTCCCTACAAATCGAAATCATCTGCGAAAAGACGGTAACGGCGGTGAAAAAAAATCGTTTCCTGACTCTATGTATAAAACTGTCACACCAAATGACTGCCTCATATTTGCGCCTTTTTCCTGTTACACAGTTCTATCAGTAACGGGGTAAAGATCAAGTTATGGATGATGTCGATTGGCAGTACTCAGTTTCCAGGATCTATTGATATTCATTAAAACTATGAACTCAAAAGGAAAGAATATATTGTTTTAAATGTTAATCACAAATGTGATCTGCTTGATAAGTAGAGCAAAATGCAATAGATAGATAGATAACGGAATAAAAATGATCATGTTTAAGCCTCACATAGACATATGACGAAATGATAGCCATATGAATGAGGAATAGGGCCATAATTCAGGGAGGCGGTATATTCAGTAGAGGCAGATACTGATTCAGATTTGTGACTTTAAGACTTCAGCTCTCTTTTTGCTCCTTCGCCCAACTATCGCAAGAGTGATGATGATCAATGTTCATGTTCTTTGATGCGTATTATGGCAAACCAACTCAGTGTTTATTGATCATTTAGCTAAATCAAACATAAAATAACGAAACAGCGATACTCAACGATCGATTATGAACAACCAATGAATGTGTTAATGAGCACTGCTGCCTTCATTACAACATGATTTGTTCATCGGCCTCCTTAATGATCACAATACATCTTTTCTATAGACGTTTATGATACAACCCTAATCTTATCAAACCATGCACCAATAACGCATTATGCACAAACCACTCCTCACTTACTTTCACAGAACATAAGTCGACTATAAAAACGCACAAAAACCTACTGTATATAAGCATATTTGGAAGAGCAGATCAAAGCTGGACGAAAATGAGTTCAATTATAGGATCGTATTAGTCCTGCAAACATTCGTATACATACACATTTAACAATCGAATGGCATAATAAGTTTATTCCAATCAAGTAGTAATCGATTCACGATTTTAGTTCGACGCTTATTCAGCATGTTTCGATTCGACATTCATCAATTTCAACATTTTTATGACGACATATAAGCTAGAATTTCAACAATTCCAATAGTCTTAAGAGATCAAAAATAAACTGAATCAGTAGATGCACATGTGACTGAATGATTATGAAATACTAAACGAGCAAGTTTAGCTGTTCAAAGATTTTGATAAATTTGTAAAAAACGAATTTAATTGATGAATAAACATCATAGAACAATCTTTTTCGATTACATCCAACGATACTATAGAACAATTTCAGTGTAACATTCATAAACAAAACCAATTGTTGTTTTATTACAGACCAGGAAACGAAGTGTAACAAAAAAAATGCCAATGAGCAATTAGTGAATTGGTGAAACAACAAAATTATACGAAACGATTTCAGACAAGACGAATTTGAACGTATGTGAACCACACAATTCACATATAATTAACGGCCTACAACAATTGTGATTCTAATCTATTTTTCGCTCTCAAAGGTTTAAATCAAGAATCGAAATTGTTAACATTATCGATAGAACGCAGCAGCGGAAATGCATGCAAGGAAACGCCAGCAAAGAAGAGATGCAGCTGTTTGAGAGAGTTCGTTTGGTCACGAGAAGAAAAATATGAAAACAAAGTAATATTTGTTGACGTAGAACCTGAGGATAAACAAGTTTTATTATAGTGATTTTAATTAATAGTAAATAACAAGAACTTCGAAAATGAAGATAATTTGAGAAGTGAAATAGTAAAACAAATAACGATATTTAACTACTTGATGATTACTGATATCATATTATAAAAAGCGGTATATATTGAATTTATGTTTATTCATCAATTGTATATTTACATATATA